ACAAATGGCCAAACGATCAATGGCATTACCGCCATTACCATCTTCAAGCAACAAAAAGTTCAAGGCCAATGATGATGGATTGGTAATTCGTGACAATAAAGTGGTTTATAATGCTTTTGCACAAAATACGTCCCAAAAGTCGAATGTTTCTACCATCTCTACCACCTCTGCTACCTCCGTTACCCCCACTACTTCCGTTATCTCCGCTGCTTCCGTTATCTCCGCTGCTTCCGTTACCCCCGCTGCTTCCATTACCCCCGCTGCTTCCGTTACCCTCGCTACTTCCGTTAACTCCGCTACTTCCGTTAACCCCGCTACTTCAGTCACTTCAATTACCCCCACTACTTCAGTCACTTCAGTTACCCCCGCTACTTCAGTCACTTCAGTTACCCCCGCTACTTCAGTCACTTCAGTTACCCCCGCTACTTCAGTCACCCCCGCTACTTCAGTCATTTCAGTTACCCCCGCTACTTCAGTTACTTCCGCTACTTCAGTTACTTCTGCTACTTCAGTCACTTCTGCTTTTCCCATTTCTACTATTCCTGCTGTTCCCGATATTTCTGCTGCCTCAGTTACTTCCACTACTTCTGACACTCCTGTTACTTCTACTTCTAATGCTTTTATCAGTTCTGATACTTTTGTTAATTCTAAGATAAAAATTACTGTAATAGTTTCTCCAACTATTTCACTTCTAGATGAATCTGATACAGAAATATTGGATACAAATTTTTGATAAGTAAAAAAGTTTACTAGAGATCTTTTGTATTGTAGATAGCACTTAATAAAATATATGTATTATGATTTAGAATAAGTATTATTTATATTATAAAAAAATTATTATTAATAATATATATACTACGTATATTTTTAATTAACTAATCCAAATAAAGATTTGCATTTTTGTTATATAAAAATTAAAAATTTTACTTGCATATATTATGTATTTTTTAACGGGTTGTGAGGGTTGACTGTATATATATTATTAAAATCAATATAAAATCAAAAAATGCAAACAAATTTACTATGTATTTTTATTTGCTTTATATATTTCATGATTATATTAATACTATATACTGTAGTTAAAGTTGAATTTGTTTTTTCATGCGTTAAAACCATTTTACACATGTGTATAAAAATAAAACCTATTCCAAACTCTTCTAAAATTTCGATTCTTGTATTACGTAATTCTATGGTTTTAATTAAAAATTTTAATAACTTAAAAAACTATTTCTACTATATTATCATAACAATTCAACAAAATTATTTAAAATTTCGGAATAAGTATTATGCCCCATAAGAGTCCAATAAATCTTCTTCCTCTTCTGTTAGTCCTGAAAGATCATTAGAATTATTTGCAGCCTCTGATACACCACTATGATTTATTGCAGAACCATCAAGTTGTAAAAGAGTATCTAATAAAAATTTAAGGTCTAAACCGACTTCTCGTAACTAATAAGAATAACACATTAGAGATACATATCAATTATAGTAAGAAACGCGAAAATTCCAAGTACCATTAAACAATGATCTCTAGCATATTTCAAGCATCTTTGTACTATTTTATCGTCACGATTGTGAATGCTGTATACTTGACGTTGGAATAAGTTTGCGTAATGTTCCATTTCTTCTTTTGCCCATTTAACAAGACCTTTTAACCAATTTTAAAAAATATCAAACTTAAAACATTATTCTAAATTAACCTTGAGTTAACTATAAAACATTACCTGATGTCATTTTTATGTCTTTAAATGCAGCATTATACCAATCACAAGTATTTTTAATCAAAGTAAAGTATACTAGTGACAATTCATTGATGTATTGTGGTATGTCGCCCTCAAATTTCAACTGCCTAAATTCGAGTACGATAATGTGTTAATTAATAAAGAATGTCAAATCCACTGTCACAATACTTACTTTGTCCTTATTCGAATATTATTTGTTCTCGCAGATAGAAATAATTCTCGGGCCTAAAAAGGTTGAAATTTTTAATGTATCCCAAAAAAAATTACAAATTATTATTTTATATTAAACGTTAACTACTTGTTCACCATAGCCAAGGCGTAATAACCATTTTACACATTTTTGTACTTGAGTCTTTTTCACATTAGGGTTAGTCAAATCTCGACTAATTGCATATGAAAGTCTCACCACTCTATCCTCCATTTTTACTCGGATAGAGTCCAATTTAGTAGCATCGGCAGATATATTAGTTAATGCTGCTTTAGCTTTAAATAAAAAAATATTAATATTTAGAATAAAGACGATTTTTTACTGCATGACAATATTTATGAATAAATTTCAAAATTTTAATACCTTTTTCAATACTTTCTACAGCTTCATCAAATTCTTTTGTAGCAATGTATACAACTAATTGGTCTGCCAAATCCTCGATTTCACGCAAGTCATTAAATGAAAGTTCTCTAGGGGATTTTGCAGTTATTTTTGAGCCGGGGCTTTTTTGGCTACGTAATGATGATGTTAAAGCGTTACGGCTTTTCCGCGAAAGGGATCTTATAAGTGGAGTAAGTTGTTGTTGATTGTTTTGCTATTAATTAGAAGATATAAACAGTTAGATCAAATAATTTCGGCAGAACATTAATCCATTACGGATTATAACACTTACAGCATTAATTACCAAATCTATGAAAATTCGAACAACCAATAGACAGTTAACGAGAGTTAGATGTTTTAATTAGGTCAAATAAAAAATTACACTCACCGGCATGCCTTGCAGCTTTAGCTGACATCATCTCATCCGTAGCACGTTTAGTCATGTTAATCAAATTTTTCTTTTCTTCAGCAGTACTACTTTGAAAAATAAATTGATCCGTTGGATGTTTCAAGATTTTGATAAAATTCATAAACCCTTATATAGTAAGAATGTAAAGAATTTACAGATATAAGTAGGATTTAATGCACTTGATAATTAATGTAGTAATCAAAAGTGATATACCATCAGCATCTTTCACATCTATTAAACTAATATCGTCTAAAGACCAACAACGATCTGCTACTAGTCTAATCTTTGTTGTATCTTTTGTCGCTTGTCTTTTTTTTTTCACAGCAACTAATAAGCAATCGTTGAGTAAAAAAAGGTGCACAGGTTTGTTTTTGATTGGACTTTTTTTTTTCTTAATTGTTTTTTTTTTTTTATTATCTAACGAGCATATAATACAATATGATTTTTCTGAGTTTTGTTACATTGGAACCCCGTCGTGATATTATTGGCGAATGTT